TCGTCTATTGACCAATGCACGGAATGAACTCATAAAAAAATTTGACTTTTGAGTGGTGTTCCGTGTTTACTAAAAATGAACACATGATGTAATGCACGCGCAACTTTAGAAAAGGTCCTATCAACTTTTATAAACAACTTGTTAGGCCCTTTTTTTACGAGCCGAAGAACGCCAACGCAAAACAAACCACTATCAGAAAGGGGAGAATTCACCCTACCCGATGGTGTCGTTGATTTGCATAGGCGTAGTTTGGTTCGCGCGAAAAATGTCTAATAAGTTTTGTGTACATAAGTTGTTAGACCATTTTTAAATGTTACGCGAGAATTATTCATGTGTTAATTTTTAGTAAACATGGCACCGCTCAAACGTCAAATTTGTTCATGCAGTTCATTCCGTGCATTGGTCTATAGACGAGTGCCCGGGGAACTTTTGTTCATCTACTGAAAAAGTAAGAGATTATATCCAAGACACGACCGTAGATTTGACGTAGGATTACGAAAGGAAGTTTTGATGTCACAGGAAAAGTATAGTATATATTAAATTGATTTCTTAACTCGTTATCAGTGATAAAGTTCGATAGGTTGAAATTTGGAAGCAATTTGAGAGTTCTGTTGTCAATCCTGGACGATATGTCTTGGATACAAGCTCTTACTTGAACTCTTCAGTTAACTCTTTTATCAGTCATTTGTGGTCCTGAAAAGGACCGATGGGTTGGAAGCTTGGAAACCAATTCAGAACAAGGCTGTGAAAATTTGTCCTCGATGTTCTTGGAGATGATAGCGGTGCGGAAATGGAATATGTAATAGGGAAAACACATCAATTACAGAATCTGAGCCTACCGGACGGTACCTACGTTTATGCTTTTTGATGCAAATTTTAAGCCTCTTTTATTAAGAGAATACGGCAAGATTTTTTTTGGCATAATTCTCTTAATAGGAGGGGCTTAACATTTCCATCAAAAGGCATAAACATAGGTACGGTCTGGAATGCTCAGTGCTTGGTATCAATATTCGGCGCCTGTGTTAGGGAAACAACTTTTCCCAAACAGGAAACGCCTCGTCTCGTGATGTCCAAATTACGCATTTTCATGCACAAAACGCACAGAACTTTTGGTTTATTCAATAGATCGTAAAGACAGCGAAAACTGATTGGAGGAATTTCATGCTAAAATTGTTCCATTCGCGAGATATTCGCGATAAATCATATAAATTCGAGATTTTTTGTTTTTTGCTTTTTCTAGCGTCCTGAAGAAAAGTGTTTTTGGTTATTTGACATGGTCATGTGGTATTCGGTCATTGCGAGAATTTGTATGTACCACTTCAATACTTGACGCATTTGACCATAAACGTTTGGTTGCTGGGTACATTATCAAAGAGCTTTGGGGGTGATGTGGCTGGCACCAAGGCGAGCGAACGTTCAATGAAAATTAACGCTTAAACAACAAAATTTATGGTGGTCCTGAAAAGAACCGTTTTGCCGTGATGGTTGGAGTAATGCTGAGCTATTAGGGTGCTCAACACGGATGAGGCTGGCGAGCTGTATGTTGGTTGGAACGAGGGTGACGCGCTTGGCATAGATGGCCCACAGCGACTCACGAAGATGGATCCTGATCAGTAGTGGTGAAGCTTCTTCCTCCTTCTTCTGTGAATTGGACGCTCATGTGGGCTGTAGCTCGCTGCTTGCGGCCAGCTTTTCGTTGTGCACAATGTTCAACGCCGCGCGCCGAAAGCACTGCTGCTGCTGCTGCTGACGACCAACCGGACATCACCACACACGGTGATTGAATAAGCACCGTTCAGGAAGACAGGACCGAATTCGATTTTGAAATCTGTGTTAGGGAATACGCTTTTTGCAGGCAATCGGTGATAATTTTGCTTGTTTACAATGCAAATCCATCCGCTATTGACAGAATTATATGTGGTCAAAACCTGACCACTTTTCGTAATGCGGTCAATTATGGTTTTTTTGTAATTGCACCCCCAATATGTTGCCGAAAGACGTAATCCTACGTAAAAAAAAATGACACAACAGCGGGGACCTGTCAATTAAGTTGTTTGGCATTGTGGACCTACTTTTGAGACCCACTGGTTCAACCCTCGGATTCGGATTTGCATATTGGATCGTTGGGACTTCTGCGGTCCTTTGTACATGTTTCGAAGTCTTGTGTACTCGACCTAGAGGCCTTCCAAGGGAACTTGATAGGTACCTTAAAGATGTGGTATCTTGAAGATCTTTCCGGCGATGTTAAGAGAAAAAGTTTGTAATTTTTCCCCTAAGAGGAACTTTTATAACGACCATAAGACTAAAAGTGGTAAGCTGCCAGTTCAAGTGCCAAACACTTGGAGTTTTTAACACATTAATTGTGGACAGGTTGAGAGATTTTTTTATGATGTCAGGAGGTCTTCCAGAAATTGCGAAAACTTCTAGAGGTAGTGAGAATCATGAGAATATTTTGAGGTGGTTGGGCAGACCTTTCCGGCCATGCTAAGAAAAGAGTTTGGAAATGACCTTTATAAGAAACTGTAGAGCGAAAAGAATGAAGATTCCAAGTTGAAGTTTAACGAACTTCCAAAAGAACTTCAATAGACTCCTTCAACAAATGTTTAGAGTGTAGAACGGAACTTAAGAGTAAACCTTCGAAAACCAACAGGATAAGTACGAAACACTTGTAAGGAGTTTCAATGCATTGCTTTGAAGAGTTTGGATTTGTTTTCAGATGAAAATCGCAGAACTTACAGAGAGAGCTTTTATGTGGAAAGGTCATTTAGACAAAGTCCTGAGGACTTTTGTAGCAGTTGGGATCTTCCACTAATTGAAATTTGACGATCTGCCAAAAGAAGAACTTCAGAGGACCTCCATCGAAAATGTGAAAGCTGTGACCAACAATTGAAATAGGCCGAACAACCTCTGTCCTGTAATCTGTCCTTATCGTCGTTTCCAGTCACAGGACTAGTTGTGGGTTTAATAATTTGTTGTTTGTGACGACTTAGATTTTGATATAACTAGGGCTCTGCTTTAAAAATAGAGTAAGAGTAAATAAGATAGGTTAAGATTAGTCTGCGCGAAACCGTATGAAACTGAATAAATAAATAAAAACCATTATTTACGTTTGTTTGTTCCGCCTATTTCAATTGTTGGTCTAGAAAAGAAGAGTAAACTTTGGAGGACTTCTAGGATAGATACGAGGGTTTTATTCAGAGAAATTCAAAGATAAGCTCCGAAGGATGTTCGGAGGACTTCCACTGGAATTCCAGGTATTACTTGCAGATGTAAGCTTTCAGAAACCCCATGCCAGGAGACCTTCCTGGAGTATTTGAGAGAACTTAGGTACTTCAAATCTGGAAGCCATCCAGGTGATGTCTAAAGGACTTCCAGAGTAGGTTTGGAGGTTTTCAGGTTAATGATTGCGATAGTCTGTCGGAAGAAATTTAAACGACTTCCTTGGAAACATTAGAGCAAATTTTTGAGGACCTCCAGAACTAGTACGAAGGGACGAAGTCTAGAGATATTCGGAGAGAAAATCGGAAAAAGTTTTACCGATGGTGTTAAGTGCTTTCAGCAAATAAATGGGAACTTTCAGAAACTTCTTAAATATTTCGAGAGGCCGCCCTTCTGGAATATTCTGTAGAAAAAATTATAGGGGTAATCCAACCCACTAGGATGTCAATGAAATGTATGTAAACCGATCATATACAAAATGTTTATTGCCTCGAAAAAAGTAAAATTTGGGCTCAATCGGACATAATTTGGGGTGCTTTATTAAAAATTATGGAATACGCCATTTTGAAAAATTATGCGTGAGTTAAAATGGCCGAATTCCAGCACAAAAAATTCATTGATCCTAGTGAACAATTATGCGAAGTTTCATGGCATGTGAAGAGGGAAAAATAATATCGATTCGTCAGTTGGATTTTACATATGAATTTCAGAGAACTTCTTAGGGGAATAAGGTTGTCACCGATGTAACTCTTGAAGAACTTCTTGAGAAAGTTTAAAAGGCAGAGCATGAGAATATTTAGAGAACTTCCAAAGAAAGTGTTGAAGTGTGACGATTGTCCAGAATTCGTATGGACTTTTTGGAGGACTTCCAGTGAACAGTTTAGGGACGAAGCCTTTAACCGAAATGGCAGAACTTTCCACAGGACTCGGAACATTTCGAATTCCCAAGTGTACTATTTTTTGTAAAACTGGTGAAAGAATCTTGGCTAATATCCGGCTGCGGCTGAAATTAAGGCTTCCATATTTTGCTCCTGTTTAGTCCACCCGTCGCTTCTGTTAGAATTTGCCTCGTTCGTTCGAAAGGTGTTTAGTTTCCTTACTCTGTTTAGACTCCACAAATCCGTACGAGCCCCCTCCGTCCAAAAGGTAAGTTCACCTCGAATAGCAAGAGGTCGTGTTTAGGCTACCCATCCCCTCCTACTAGAGCTGCTGTCAGTTGTATTTAGCTCATCATTTCCCTCCTCCGTCGTCCTTCTAATTGGCCACATCTGCCGCTCCGTTTCAGCCCCTCAAGATCCTTGAATCCCCGAGTTCGTCCTTCTCCACGCTTACCACCGGCAACAGCTTCGACAGCTTGGATCTGGCCATCTACAATGGAGCCGCCCATCTGGGTGCGCTCGATCGGATCACCCGGCCGAGCCAACATCATCTCAGGCTGCAGCTAATGGGCGGTGGTTCGAGCACGGCGGCCAGTCACCTACGGCCCAGCTACGACGACGATGATGAAGCCAGTTCCGACGATAGCTTTTTCGCCTACAAGAAGAAAGGCTCCGTCGTGTGATCCGAATGCTTGAGCTTTTCCATCAATTTTGTGCTTTGTATATGCGTATGTGCGTGTGTAAATGTTTGCGTGTGTGTATTTGCATATAACATAAGCTTGTGTGACGTGCTCTCTTTTTGTTTGATATCTATGATGTACTATTTAAGGATTTGAAATAAACGTGAATATGCATTACATCGACGCTTTGAATGGAATTTTAACCGATCTCAACTATCCACAGCTATCACCGGGACGTGAGTGTTCCGACATCGACATGGAACCGCAGGCATCGCAGAGTCGGGACTGTGAACCGACACCCCCGTTGCAGCGGCATGGTTCCAAAAGCAACTTTTTCCTACCACCAATTGATGGTAACGGAGGATTGAACCTGAACGGAGGCGGCCAGATCGTTCAGGGAGGCAACGGTGGCGGTGATTCGCCACGGCACATACGCATGTACCACCCGCGGCACAGTCCCCACCCTCGTCAACGTGGGTTGGATCCGTCCCGAAGTTTCACGCCGGAAGGCCTGTCGCCGGATCAACCGCCACCGATGATCACGATCCAGCAGCAGCAACAACAACTACAGCAGCAGCAGCAACAGCAGAACCAGCAAGGTTTGCCGCGTGGAGCCTCTGCGACACCCACAATGCAGCAAAGAATTAAAGCACTCGGTGTAGCGACACCATTAGCAATGTCTAGTCCCGTTAGAAGGTATGTGTCCATTTCTTTATCCGTTCTCCATTAACCTAGTTTCTAAGTTGTTAGGATCCATTTTTGAGCATTTTTTCTACGACAGAATTTCATTTTCGAGACCGCAAACAAGAGCTTCATACTCGTTGATTTGATATGTTCGATATGGAAACTTACCTATATACTTATCATATTCTCACTTATCTTATCGTTTTATTACAATTACAACTGACCATCTTTCGTTGCTTACCTTTTCTCACTCGGAAACTGATTACACACTCAAAAAAAAAAAAACAATCCAACACGCCTTCACTTTAACTTACATAACCTCTAAAAAAAACCTAAACTAACCATACCGACGGTGCAGATGGACCTAAAGCCGCCAACCGCAAAACCGAAAAGCAATTCGCGCACCTGTACCTGGCACACCATTCGGCCGCACCAATTTGACCATCGTCCCCCACAGAACCCACCCTCTGCTCCGCGAAATGCGCGCACACACACCCAAACACCTATATGTATTCAAGAAAACAAAAATACCAAAAAATCCAGCAAATTTTAACACTAAGAAACGAAGACAGTCTCCCCTGCGGATGTTTTCGAACCCGAAACCAAACCGCCACGAGGAGACGGGATAACGACGGCGACGACAACCTCCGGATGTTCCAGTTGAGATACGGCAACTGTGGACGATGCCAGCGGAGAAAAAGGATCTTCCCAATTATCGTCTATATTTTGGCTTACTGATTTCCGACACCAACCACGCCCCGCGCGCCACACACATCTATTCAACTACCAATAGGCTGATATATAGGACTGAGTGAGCTCTATCTTCCGGAAGCCAGTTGCTCAAAAATCACAGAACCAAAACAAAAAATGCATTGTCGAGCTGCTGGTAATTGAATAGTGTTTCTTTGTTTTCTTTAGTTTAGAATAATTTGTTGGTTCTTATTTTTCTTTTTTCGATTCGTAGTTGGTTGAACATTTCGTTTCGTTGGCTTCGTAATTTTGATATTTGGTAATTTTACTACGCTCTCTAGATATGCGCTATAGAACTTTTGTGCTCCACTGTATGCGGTCCCGCTGTTTTTTTTTCGCCAAGCTACGTAATTCGTTCTTATTCTTAGTTTTATTTGGAACTTCCCAACAATTTGGCGGTTTTTCGAAGGCAACTCTTATTTTATCCAGTACAGTAAAGACCCGATTTTGCCAGCCCCTCCGCGCATCAGACTTGTATCTTTCAATAATTTTACATAGCAGTAATTCCCAATCATTCCCATTCATCTTCATGATGATTGATTAAGGTATTATTATTATTTATCTTTATTAGGGAGGCTTTCAGCCTTGGGCTGGTTCGCCTCCACGATTAAGGTATTCCTTGTTGCGATAAGACGATTTTCAAAAAGGAGGCTGACAAAATCGGGATTCTGTTTATCAATAGAGACAAAACAGCTTTGATCGCTCATTCGAGACAAGAGTCATCTTCAAGGGAAACCATGTCAGTTGAGGGGGTTAGAAGGAAAGGGGTGTAAGCAACCCAGTGGCAGGCGCATAGGCAACATGTTATACCGTGACAGCGGGCTCAGCACAGCAACATAAATGATTTGAGCCCGGGACATGCTGCCTACTGTCAAACGCTGATGTTAGTATAGGTCTTGTCACTGGCCTTGGTGTAAGTGATCGATTCTCTTCATCGATTTTCTCTTTCGTTGATACTTCAGCTGCAAACACATTCCTTGATTCGTGTGCCATTCTGGATGCTAGATGAGAACCGTCCTTTATCAAACTATGTGGCAGAAATAGCACAACATTCTGTTTATAAAGAGTTTCTATCAAAAGAGAAAGTTGATGAAGAGAATCGATCAAAGTCGCTTACACCCCTTTCCTTCTAACCCCCTCAATTGTCAATTACAATGCCACTTTTATAACCCGAAAGTCACTATTTCTTAAAATTTCCTTTTTTACGACTAATAATATAATGTTGAGTGTGAAAACTTTGCTTTTAAAAAATCACATGAAATCATAGATTGATTTGGTAACAAATTTGTGTTAAAGATTCATTCAAAAAAAGGTGGGTGAAATCTGACCAGAAGAGTTGCGAACAGTATTTAGTATTTGTCTAAATATCGAGAAAAAATAATGTCGCAGATTATTGAATTATTTTCTTAGCTCATTAAATTGTATTGTATTTTTCCGGACTTACCGTAATCTAGAATCATCGAGACACAAAAGCCTATGTCCGATATCATATAATGTTATTTACGTTTCAGAAGCAATTTAAATGCTAGCAAAGACGTTGATAGAGACGCGCATAGAAAATTTATGTCAAAACAGCAGCACGGTTTTTGAGAGATCTTTTGGCAATGTCACTGGCAACCATGTTTCTTCGAGTTGCTTCAAGTGACTTTCATACAGTGCCGCAATGCTGTTCAAAAAATTTGAACGTTCGACCGGAACTGAATAAAAATGAAGTGCGCTATTAGACACTACCAGTTCGTTTTCATAACCAGGTTCACGCAAGATTGTGTCGAAAATATATTTTCATTGCTTAGGTTTAAGCAAAAAAGAATAACTTAAAACTGCTATCAGTTTCCCAATTTATGTCAGAAATTCCAAACACATCGATAATAGACTATGACTGACGGACTGTACAGCACGAGATGGTTTCAGTAAGTAACCATCTTCAAAAGCAAGTTGTGAGTGATGACCAACTGATCACTGTAAAATACCCGAAGGATGTTTTCGACGATGCATTTTTTGACAACTCTGAAAGAAATCAAATTTATCATATCGGTGGATATATTCTACGGAGCATTGTTATGAACTACAACGTTTGTGAAGCTTGTTTTTCGCCATGTATATCAAGTATTGCTATCTTAAAATCATACTCGAAGTTTACTATACTGAAAGATTATACTGGCGAAGCATTGCTTTATATATCAAAGAGCATGTCTTGTTGTTGCCAAATTGGGTGATCTTATGAAAACACTCTGAACAAATATTTTTGAAGACTGTCATGATATCAGGAGAAAAATTATCGAGCGTTTCCTTATCATTAGGCTGAGAATCCATGAGCCGTTCAAAGTTCGATCAAATAAGTATGACAGTCGCTCCATGACAGTATAACCACAGGCAAACAGACATAACACTCGTAAGTTGTTCATCGAACAAGCATTTAACGGACAATATAAAAGTATCGTAGTTGGTAGTACCACCACCTGTGGCGCGCATAGTCAATTCCCTTGCGTTTGACGTTTACACACTACCGCCATCTGTTCAGCGTAGTGCCCACCACAGTGTAGTCAACAGATGGCGGTAATATTTTAGCGACGATGTTTTACAGTGAGAAATATTCAATGAGTTATGTCTGTTTGTCTGTGGTATAACTTTTGTCATATTTTACTGTTTTGCTTGCAGCGTTGAAACCCCTAATAAAATGCTATGGTTAATTTGCTTAACGACGTGTTCGGGGTATCATCAAAACCATTTGTGGAATAGTTCAATGATTTGGGTTCTCGTTTGATTATGGTATTTTTTAATTAGGGAAATTGGTCAAAAATTTGTAAAATTTATACCGGAACATATTTTTTTTTTTGGAGATTGAGATTTTAAATCCTAAATGCATGTACAATTATCTGTGGCTGCGGTCTTTCCATATTGAAAAATTGTATTCGTTTCAGAAGAATTAGTTTTTTTTTTTCTTAGATTGCTATCTGGAAAAGTTGTGTTGGTCCCAGATTTATGAAAATTTTAGGTGTTACAAAAGTTTCTCTGTGCTTAAAATTTTTTCGTTCTAATTATCAATTCACGATCTGAACCGAAAATCATCGTAAAGTATTGTTTGTTGTCATAAATGGAGTCATAAGAATCATTACAGAGTGAAGAAATAGTCTAAGCACTTGCTTATCTATCACGACCCCGAATTAATTCTTATATAATACAGTTCCTAATATTTTTTGAAATAAACTGCAGAGCTCTACGATCAGTTTAATGGATTCACCACTTTTACAGATGCTCCAGATCTTCCATAGGACGGTCTCATAACCATCCAGGTCCATGTTTACGTCACGACCTTTTTTTTCTTACATCAAAGTTCAAAGTTCTAAGTTAAAAAAACGATAAGCTCTAGGATCAGTTTCATGGATTGTTCATTTTAAGCATGTTCCGGATCTTCCTGAGGACGGATCCCTGGCCATCCGGGTCCATGTTTATTTCACGACCCCGAATTCTATCTTATATCACAGTTCCAAGTGTTTTCGAAAAAAAAAAAAACCGGAGCTCTAGGATCAGTTTCATGGATAGACCACTTTTATGGATGTTTCGGATGTTCCGGAGGACGATACCATGGCCATCCGGGTCCGTGCTATGTCATGACCCCAAATTCTTTCTTATATCACAGATCCAGGGCTGTTACAAGATTTTCTATGTATGATCCGCGAAATCCGCGATTTCTCAAAAGAAATCCGTGACTTCAAATACTAACCCGCGACAAAAAAAAAACTGTTTTCATTGACTAAAAATAGCATTTGCATACTACTACATGGCATTTCAAGCTTATTGCTTATAGCATATTAGATTTTTGCCTGCTCTTAACTTTGAAGTACTTTCACATTTTAATTGAGAGCTTCCTATGCCTGTACCATCCTAAAGGGTGATACGGTCAAAATTTGGTCAATATCAACTTGACGTATTTCTTTCAATTTTGCATTTAAAAAACCTGAACACCCCTCATTTTGAAGGTGTGTGTGTGTAGAATGTTGCTCCTATTTTGATTTTGGAATTCACTCTTCAGTTGTCAAAATGCCGTCCAAGCAAGAAGAGCAGCGTATCAAAATTTTGCTCGCGCATCGCGAAAATCCTAGCTACTCGCACGCAAAGTTGGCAAAATCGCTAAAAGTTGCCAAATCAACCGTTACAAATGTAATTAAAGTGTTTGGGGAACGTTTGTCGACAGCCAGGAAGTCTGGATCGGGGGGAAATCGAAAACCGGAAGCCGCTGAGACGACAAAGAGAGTTGCCGG